GGGGGGGGGGGGGACCCTCGGCAACGGCGGCCGCGGCGGCGGCGAGGGCGGTAGCTCTCCGCGGAGGCGGAGGGGCGGCGGCGGCAGTTGGCGCACCAGATGAGCTCCAGGGGGCCGGGAGCGACGGCGGCGATGTCGGTGTCGGAGTGGATTCGGCGGCGGAGGCGGCGCATTGGCTGGAGGTGGCGGACCTGAACGAGCGGTTGGCGATGACGGAGAGAAGGTTTTTGGTCGACGAGGGTCTGCCCGGGAGGCAGTGGTTCCGGCACGTGCTGCAGGCCCCGGGGCTTTACTTGGGGTGAGTTGAGTGGCACAAACACCATTATTTCTTACTAATATTACAATGAATCCATCTCTATCTACATGTGTATGGTTTTCGTTTTTCGACGCCGCCCGAAAACCCGTGGGCTCTGCCTTTGAGGGGTGGGGGGGGGGGGGNGCTCTGCCTTTGAGGGGGGGGGGGGGGGGGGTTCCGTAAGACAAGAATGCGTTGAGGATGGCATGAGATACTCTATGTGACCTGGTTCGGGTGAAAGGTCATTCATTCATTGCGCAAAACAAGTTTGACGCGTAAATTTCGTTCCCGATTTGATCCATTTCGATGGCTAAAGCGCCCTTCCCCCCCCCCTTTTCCCTTTCTGTCTCTTGTCAGCTACGCTGCCGAGTCTTTCCCGGGCATCACCCAGGCCCTCAGCGATGGCGACCTAGAGCTCGCCAAAGAACAGGTGCATGTTGCCGCGGCTCGAATCGAGGACGCAGCAACCTTTCTCACGGGCGACGAAGGGAGAAGATATAGATGATATATCGGTCGCGACAACGTAACGACGGCAGGTCTTGGGGAGGGGAGGAGAAACACAGTAGAGGTCCCTGTTTAGTGCCGGTATGTGCCCATGAAAGTTCAGCGGATCCACCGGACACGGGCACTGTTCAAAGGACAAAACAGGCTCGGTAACTCAGGGTGTTCCCGCCGAAAACGACGGCACTATTGAGCCGGTACTAAAACCTCCACTGCACTTGAATGGGGGGCGGCAATAGGGGGGCAAAGGAAGGAAGACTTTGTGGTGGTGATGCGGTAGGATGACGGCAGTTGCGTGGCTAGAAACCGTAGCCAATTCTTGCGCGCCGTCAGGGTAGCAACATTGCTGCGTGCCTCTTTTTTTTTGTGCGGCGTGGAAGTTGACTGGTGGCGCGCTGCACAGGGCGTTTTCAATTCGCGTTTCATGCCGCAATTGCCTCGTTGACCCTTTTTTTCGTTGTCGTTGTTATCATTCGTTGGTGTTGGCGTTACACGCGGTGAAACTATGCGCGATTTTGCAGCCGCCGTGTTGATTGGTCGTCAGTTTTGGCGTGTCGGGGGACAGCTTTGGTGATGTCTTCGTGTGGGTCTCTTGACTTTTGTCTGTACTTTGCTTGTGACCGCGAATGATGATCATCGGGAGCATCGCTCTCTGCGGGCTGGTTTGCTCGACTGCTGTACATATGCATACAGTTTTTTTTTGCCTGTAAGTTATCCTCTTCTCGAGGAAGGTGACCGTGGGTTTGACGGTGTGCCAGACACGACGATCACACCCTTAGTGTGGCGGGTCGAGTATTTGGTACGGGCCACGACGTGGGTTGGAAATCGTGAAGAGAAGTCTGTTGAGGGGTGCGTCCATGTGTTGTTCCTAGCCCTTCTTGATGGATGCAAGGAGGAAGTTGTCTTCTCGGATGTCAGCTGTTTTTTTTCCAGCGATCGCCTGCACTTCGCTGCACCCGCTCTGTGTGGTAGACAGCTCGAACGCGGAAGAAACAGAAGATGGTACTAAATACTACTTTGTTTCATGAAACTTGGGAGATTCCTATTCTTGAAAGTAGTCGCCAGCTTTGGCTTGGCCCAACGCATGAGCCAGCATGAAAATGGGGCATCTTAGGCATGCGCCGTATCACAGGACAACAACATGTCTTGTTCACAGTAAACAAATTATGGTCTAGTCTAGTTAGATTTTTTGAGATTTTTCTTGCTCACGAGCATGTTTGCGGCTGGATACTTTAACGCTGCAGCGTGGGATACGCCGGCCGTGAAATCGGCACCAACGATCTTCAGAAAAGCTAGCAACGTTTGCACATTGCACGCTACACGGCATCAACACTCCACCTACGCCGTGAGATAACATTGCTGTACGCCGCCAACATGCTCCTAGACGAAGAACACAAAACACACACACCTCTGTCCCGCTATCGTGTAAGCTGACGTTTTCATTTGGTCGGCTGATTAGCGTCGCGGTCGATGCTCTCGAAGTTGAGGAGAGCATACAGAGACAACTTGCCACCCGGACGCCTCACGAAAGCACAAGTCGACTCGATGGGATATGCATACCATACACAACTCACGCACCGAACGTACTGAACACACACGTGCCGTAGCAGCAATGCAAGGACGAATACACGCAAAAAAAGACACAACACCTACACGACGCACGCCGCACGAGACAAGAGATGAACCGCTGGCGCAGCACCGCCGAGAACAATGCGCCGCCACCTCTCTCCCAACGCAAAAACAGCATCATCATCAGACCGAGCGCAGGCACCAACTTGATTCGACGACACACCACAAGTAGAGTCCGTGCGATAGCGCAAACAAGAGCCCTTCGTGAGGATCGTCCGCGTATGACGTTTGACAAACACAAGTGCACATACAGACAAATCAGATAATACAAGAGACTGGTCTTTGTGGTCAGCCGGTGAGCGCAGTCGATACTGCTGTACGATTGCAGTCATCCTGTAGGCCACGAGGTTCCACTGAAGGAAGCGCAAGCTCCTCGGCCGCTTGAACAAAGCAAGACGGGCCAGAGACGGCAAATACGCATTTCATCAGTACAACCGCGACCACATGACCATCGTTGAATAAACCCTCTCCTTTTTCTTGAGCTACTAGTACTGCACAGACCACACCACACAATTTTATGCCCGCACTTGCTACGCGCACACTAACGCTCACGCGACAGAACCCTCCGCTCGCATACAGCACATGCCGTCCGTCCCTCTGGGGAGAGTGAAAAATAGACGAAAGCTTGTGATAAACGTTAAGCTGTAAACTCTGCGGCTTTTACGTAACAAATAAACAATTCTATTGAACACTGCAGCACTCGAGAGAACACTCCCAGAACATTATTTCGTCCAACCGGTTAGCGCGGTCGATGCTGACAACAAAGACGCACACACGATGACAAAGAGACACGCACACGACAGTTGCGTATCTACCGTCAGTCCCAAACCACGGCGCGAAACACTCAAAGCACAACAATCCGGCCGGAGTCAATAACGTCGGCTTCTAGTCTAGTGTGGGGCTGTTACGCCCAAGGTTACAGTAGCTCTCAAGTACCGTCGTAGGACACAGAATTGAGACAGAAGAAAGACGAACCAACCCACATTTGGCCTTATGTGCCACTCGCAAACCTAACACAAGTCTTCCAGGTGCATCCTATTGTGCCCTTGAACACTGGGTGGCAACAACATCAACTACACACGCTCGGCAATTTCCACCAGAGCTACGCAAAAGCCAGTGCGAAAACACCACTACTCGCTAATCCGTGTTGTACACACTAATTGCACTAATTGCACAGCACACACAAGAAGAATAAAGAAACGGCATGCTCGTGTCAAGCTAAGCACACAAACGTACTCTACATTTTGTTATACTACAGTTTTGTCGACTCTACGGCAGAGCTCGCTCGCCAACGAACGACACCACGACAAGTCGGGTCGTCTGCCGGAATGACGACAACCCCCCGATGTTTCGAGCCCGTCGTTGTGCGCCGTAACTTGCTCTGGTCCGCCACTGCTGTCGACGCCTTTGTTGTGAGCGCATGAACGACGCACCTTCCATGAATGGGGGAGTAGCTTGACCTTTTGCCGTCTCTACTTTCTTTGGCAGAGGCTGATCACATCGCGCATGATGGTGCTTTCGCTTTCTTTTTCGCGTTGCCCTTACATCTCGGTCCTTCCTTCTCACATCGCGCATGATGGCGCTTTCGCTTGTTTTTCGCGTTGCCCTCACATCTTCGTCCCTTTTTCTTTGTTTATTTTTGCGTAGGACTATCACCGGCGGCGTAGCGTGGTCCACTTGTTGCGGATGAGCTCAGTCTCCTCCCAACACACCCACCGACCGACCTGGCAGGGGGAGGGGGGCGGAAGGGTTACGTAGCCCCCCCCCCCCCCCCCCCCTACTGTCAACACAAGAAACACCGCGGTAGCAGCGGGTTCTTGACCTCCCACATGTGAGTGGGCTTGCTTCTCGAGACACCAGCCAGCCCGTCACTTCTTCTCCTTGGCGAGCTGGACGGTCTTTCCGAAGATGTCGGGCTTGGGGAGGTTGCGGTTCCACACCCACGGCCGGTCCACGACGCGGTACCCGTAGGTCCTCGAGTACTCGTGAGGGGGGGCTGTCACGCCGACAGCAGCCGCGCGTAGGAGTAGAAATTTAGGAGAAAGTGTTCGACACAGGCGAGTTTTTTTTTGGCAATAGTCCACAACCTACAATTCATCCAAATAACACGTATTTCCTTCTGTTATCATCTACCTTCGAATTGGGGGAAGGGGGGGGTCGACGTGACGGGACATCATGAGNGGGGGGGGGGGGGGGGGGGGGGAGGGGGGGGGGGGGGGGGGGGGGGGGGGGGGGGGGTTGCTCGCGCGGCAGCAAACACGCGGGCTGTTGATGGGCAGCATTCAGAGAACCAGCACTTGATGTCAGCTTCAAAACGCTGGAGAGAAGAGGTAGACACATTCTGAGTGCTCGGACACGCTCACAGACACATACGCAGACAACACAGCCTGTCTCCTGCGTCAGCTGCTGCGAGACGGCACAACAGCTGCAAACCAAACGTCTTGATAAGTCAATCGGAGTCGCTCAAAAATCTACGGCGCACAGGCGTGTGAGGCACAAACACAATACCAACGCCTCCAGCTGGCTCACCTGGCAGCTGGTGCGGCAATGGGAGCAGCCCCAGCGGCAGCGTCTTGAGCCTGGCGGCCGGCGCCTGATCGGGGCAGCGGTAGCTCAGTGGCCGCAGGCGGAACAGCGCGCCCTCCGGGTCGCAAGAGAACGGCGCCGGCGAGGCGGCACCAGACCCGCCGCAGCCCGCCGCACCCATACCCATATCGTCGTCAGAGTCTTCAGAGTCGTAGTCCATGGGAGGCGGCCGCTTGGGGGGGATCTTGCTCGGGAGGAACATGACGCCCATGCGAAAGACTTGATGTCCAGCTGGGCCTCTTCCTGCTCAAATGGTTTCGGTAGGGTTGTTCTCGCCGATTTTAGTTTGAGGTGATCTCGTTGAGGTCGACGAATCAACAGCTCGGATGGAAAGGGATGGGTGGGGAAAGCAACGGAGGTTGGAGGGCTGCAGTGTTTGTGATTGTGGTACTTAGAGAGGAATCATGTAAGTATAATCTCAGCGCGTATTCTTGCAGTGAAGACGAACCGTGCACTGCTGTACGTTGCAAGCCCCCCTGAACACCACGCAAAAGGAGAGCTATTGTATAAGACCCTGCTGAATCTTGACGTTGCGCATTCATACCCGCCTCGGATGTTGCCCCTTGTTCCTCGTGGCCTCTAGCAGCCACAGGCAAACGCCAACATTTTCAAAGCCAGCCCCCTCTACCTCGCACCCACTTGCACCTTTCTCGCACTCAGGGTAGCACGATCTGCAACACCAGACAGCACTTGGAACAAAACAAATAAACCTTCCTCATCACCAAATCACTAGCCACTCGCGTTCTTCAACCCTCCCGGATGTACACGGGAATGCGAGGCCAATGGTCGGAAGGCGCTGTAGGCCATGCATGACAAGCGGGACACATGTCCCACGTTCCCATGTGCGAGGCGAAAACCCGGGGACATGAAACATTGTCCCCTCTATCTTTGCGAGGGGGCCCCCGCGGGTGTAAACCCCCATATAAGCGATAGCACCCCCCTGCACGAGCAGTTACCTTTTGACGGGCCACGCAGACGATCTCATCGTCAGTGGTCGTTCGACAGAGAACCTCGTGCCAGGAGTGTGCCAGATGTGTGTCGCGTTCATCGTTGTTACTAACCAGAAACAGTCTGTTGCTTCTAAACTACGATGAATAAACTTCTGTCTTTGTAGAACTAACGGGCCACACAGAACGGAAGCTGACTGGTGCCTGTTGTGCGGGTCAACACTCTCTAATGTACTGGTGTGGCAGACATAAGGATGACCATGCGTACCCCCCCCCCCTCCGTCCCGTCCGCGTGGTCAATGGTCTAACAATAGAGGCATGCAAAACATGAGTGCCCCTCCGTCCCGACTCGCCGAACACCTCACGGCGCTGCGCGCTTGGTGATGCGAGAGCCTGGTCCGTCGAGAACCCGGCGTGCTCCGTCCGGGCTTTGTAGGGATGCGAGGCCAATGTCCTCGCGACTGCGGCATGCACGGCTACGAGTAAACACCCCTTCCCTCGTGGGGTCATGCAATGCACACCTCCTTGTAGGGCAGCGTGTTGTCTGGCTTTAGGGGGGGGGGAGATCGGCTTCATCCTCACCCTCCGCTTCCTGGGCCTCCGGGGCGGGTTCCTCTGCGGGCATCATTGTTTGTAGGCGGCACAAAGGGATAAATAGTGACGATGGTGGACGATGACGGCGGTGACGGGGATCAAGAGAGCCAGTCTCAGCAGGCGAGGCAAGCCACCGAAGCAGCGGTGGTGGCGGAGGAACCCATGAACGAGGCTGCAGTGGCAGCGTCAGTACGCCTAATGTAGCCGGAATAATTCGAGGCTTACAACAAGCTCGAGTGTCGTGCGACATACGTCAAGGCTCTTCAAACAGACTCGAGTCTCTTGCGAGTCTCTTGCGTCATACGTGAAGGTAAAACAGGCTCGAGTCTCTTCCGATACATACATCATAATCTGATGGAAGTACGAGACGAGGCGATGCCCTCGGTGTTGTTGGTCGTAATCTTGACGTCAGCTACGGTTGCTACCTTCCATCCTTGCTAGCTCTAGCTTGTCTTGCTGCTAACGTTGCTGACTCCGGTACAAACACCCTTCTTCCAACACCGAATGTCGGTCCTCATGCAAGCAAAGGCCGCGAAAAACGGAACCCACAGACAATACAACATACAAAGAGTGTAACAACCGCGACTTTGGGACTCGTTCCTCCAGAAAAGGTCAAGTTGAACGGGCAAAGGAGGGTCACACGTGAATAAAAAAACTCCCGCAAAACAAAACTCACCACGCAGAGCAACTTCCACATGAGAAGAAAAACGATCACCAGACAGCAACAACAACCATAAGCGACGGTAGGAACGACAGCAACAAACACGAGTTACATGGAATGAAACCAAAAGTGTGTTTGTACGCCTGTGCGCTTCGATCTCTCATCTCTGGTGAACATTCCCCCCGAGATTCTCTCACGTGCTCCAGGTAGCCCCAGGCGATCCGGTGCAGGCTGTGAGACACCAGCAGAAAGTAGGCCAGGCCATCCTTGCTCATCTTCAGAGAGCCTGTCGTCGTCGTTTTGATGTTCATGTCGGTGTTGGTGTTGTCGTTCATCGCATCGCCCCGCCAAACACACAGCAACAACAAAAAATACACCCCCAAGGTGTGCAAGTGATAGGTGGCAATAGCAACAGCAAGCAAACAACCACTGTCACCGCCAGCTTTCTTGTCAAAGAACGACAGGCACGGCCCCACAACAAACTGGTCTGTCCATCGGCCCAAAAAAAAAGAGCGGAGAACCATGTGGACTTTGTTGCACTGGAAGAATGGTGCAGGTCGGGGGGCCCGGGCGTGCGGGCGGGGGAGGTAACACATATTGCGAGGGGTATTGTTGAAATCAGAGTGAAACCGACGTACGATACGATTTTTGAAGGAACACCGGAAACCGAAAAAAACAAGGAAAAGTCAACAGGGTTGTCGTGAGAACCAGCATGCCGCCGTACTACTCTGTGGTTGTGTTCTATGCATACTTGATTGCGACGACAAAGACAGGGAACAAGATAACCGGGTACAGCCGCCTCCTACTATACCTCCTGAACGCCGCGCAGAAGATAACCTACTTAGCTGGACCATCTCCAACAACGAAAGCCTGTCCTGACAACTAAAACAAGACACAGAGAGGTCGTTCCGTCTACGGTAGAAACCATTCAATTTCGTACTGTAATATATCTACACCTCGTATTGACAATTAATGGTAGACTGATTTTAACTTCGTACTGCTTTTATCACTGAAAACCTACCCTCACGCTCCCGACTCCCAGCCCAAGTTGGACGTCCGAACGGCTTCCTCTGTGGGCCAGACGATACGAAGGAACTTCATGAACCAGTTCCTCTTCCTCTCCTTCCCGACCCACTTGATCAAGGCCGCCGCTTCCGCCGCCTAGGAGGAAATACATAACGAGAACAGGGGGCGGGAGAGGTCTTGGTATTTGTACTGGACACGCATACGCACCAGGAGAACGGCGGCTGGAGAGGTTATGGTACCATTCATACTGGACCATGCACAAAACTAAACAAATCGTATATTTTCTTCGAGCCCTCCGACTTGCTGTTGAATACAGGGCGTTATCGAGCGTCGTTGGCGTGACTCACGCTGTCGTGAAGACGCACCAATAGACACGCAGACAGGCAGCAACCTACACCTCTGGTTGAAACGCAAGCAACTGCTATCGTGACGGGTCGGTAGTCAGCCTCGACTCATGGTATGCGCCATACACACGCCGATTCTCTCTCCCTCTCTGCCGTTCTATTTCTGTCTGTCTGACTCACACATATACACACCTCCTGCTTCTCCCTCTTCTACCTCTTCAAGGCCTTCTTGCCCAGGCGCTTGGGGGCCTTGGGCTTTTTCGGCGGAAGGATGCCGAGCACGTTGCGGCGGTGGATGGCCTCTTGCCTGTCGGCCCTCTCCTTCCGCTTCTCAAGGATACCTGCCCCACCCACACAGTCAGCACAGCGATCGTAAGCCACACATTGTCCCGCCAAAAATCAAAAACAATCAGGTCCCTGTGGACACAACGCGCCCCATCCACACCGTCCAACTCCGACTCGCAGGCAAACGCTCATTGGTTGCACACCTAACACACACAGACTTTACCCTGATTGTTGACAGTGTGTTCGGTGAACCACCGCCTGTCCCAACAGCTGCAACACATGGTTATCGTCTGATGTAGTTCGATCTTGTCACACGCAGATCTATCTTGTCTTCTGCCGAACGATCTTGGTCGTGCGCAGGTCAATTCATTCTTGTGCCGCTCGATTTAACGGCAGGATAAATTAAGCAGTATCAATACCTTTGTCGCCCCACGGGTCCTTGCGCTACCCGAGTGGCTTCTTCGGCTTGTTCTTCCCCTTGTTCCTCTCGTCTTGCTCCTTCGTCTTCATCCTCACCTCCTCCTCCTCGGCGAGCCCCACGTCGATGTCGCGAATGGCCTTCTTGCCGTCCTTTCCGTTCTTGCCGCCGGTCTTTTCGGCCATGAAGGACTCCGTGATCTCGCCCAGCCACTTGTACTAGGGGGCGGGGGGGGGGGGGGGCAACCAGCAATGGAACGGATG